TGGCCCGGGCCAGTAGATGTTGTAGCATGCGCCGGTTGCCTTCCACGGCGCTGGGCATCTTATGTCTCGCCTTCAGCGAGTCCGGCTTCGGACTCGCTGAAGGGGTGAGCAAGCTGGGCCGGCCCACGAGTGTGGGAGGCCACAACCTCTTTTTCCAGTGTTTTTTGTTTTTTGTTTTACTTTTGCTTATACGTTAAAATATTTTGAGTATATATATGACAAAAAACACTCTTGAAAAAAGTTTCAAAAAAATGTTGAACAAGTATTTAAATTTTTTTGAATAAGTATTTTAAAAATGTTAAGCAACTATTTGAAAAATTTTTGATCATGTATATAAAAATGTTGAATAAGTAACTGAAAAATAGTGAACACTTATTTAAAAAAATCTTGATCATGTATACAAAAAATGTTGAACAAGTATTTGAAAAATGTTGAACAAGTATATAAGAATGTAGAATCAAAAACAAATCAGGGAAGAAAAAATAATGTTGAACAAGTATTTGAAAAACTATTGATCATGTATATAAGAATGTAGAATAAAAAACAAAAAGAAACAAAGAAAAGCCAAAAAATGAAACCAAAAGTGTATAGAAGGAAAAAAGAAAAGAATGAAAAAATCAGAGAAAAAAAAAGAAATGAAACAAAAGAAAACAAAAAAAGAAATAAAAAATAGAGAAGACCGGCTCAGTGGCCTATAGTTGGCCGCGATCCAACTTCTAACCCATACCTACAAGCGGATGGAGCGGTTAGCTAAGTTCGCGATCTCCTCGAAGACCAGCGATCGATCCCGCATCGTCCCCCCTTTTTAGTTTCTTTTTCCTTTATATGTACGCACGATGGGCCGGCCCGATTCTTAGGCGACAGCAAAATTCGTTCAGCGAGAGTAACATATCGTCTCGCTTAAAGCGAGATATAGCTCGCGCCTTCAACGCGGAATAGGAAGTCCGATTTGTCATTCCTGCGCAGCGCTCAGGTGTTTCCTCTATTGGGCTGGTCAGGCCATGAAATCTTCTGCTTGTGCCAATTTTGGAAAACTTCTAGATGCTCCGGGTTCGTTTTTTTCCTTTTTCTTTTCATGCACACTATAAAATTTGCTCTATTCAGTGACAAAAAACCTGGCGACGAAACAGAAAACGTCGCCTAAAATCATTTTCTGCGACTGTCCACCGTCATGAGGTGTTTTCCTTCCGTGGCAGTGCCCAAGGCAACTTTGGTAACGTTTTGGCCTAATTACCGGCAACACTTTTGGGCGTCACTAGGCGTGCCCATTTTCCGGGACGATTCATAGTGTAATAGAAAATGAAGCAGGGCAATGTCAAGTATATATATATATATTCTGAAAGTAGTCAATCTCCTTTCTGATAGTGTTCCTAAAAATTTTGGCGAACCCCTACACTATCTAAGTTAACGGGCATAAAAAATGTGGGCTTCCTGTGGCTCAAATGCAGAAAGTCGATTACACAGTACATACTGCATTGCCAGTACGACATTCATAAGTTATCGATCAAAATGCTGGTACTTATGTACTTATAGGATGTCTAGCAGAGTCTACCGGTCCGCGGCTCGTCTTGTCACCTTACGAAGGCAGACGCCACATTTCAGTGTTGTAGCGTGTCGATTAATGGCGGCTGACGTGTGCCAACCGCCATCGGCCATTGAAGCCACTTTTCCCCACCGCCCGCCAAATTTTGCCGCCACTTTTTCCCGCCAGGCGACCGCCACCAACGACTATAAGAAGACCCTCGCCATGACCAAACAGCTCATTCTCTATCCTCACAGCCTCCACATCCCTCCACGTTGACATGGCCAAATAGATGACCGCCTCCATGACCAGTTAGCTCATTCTCTTTCATCCCCCCCAACCCACTCCATTGTCATATCTGAATAACTCACCGTGGCCTTGATGCTTAGCATCCATGAGAGGCCAGTCTTGGTGTCGGTCTCGAAGGAGGATCCCTTAGCCATATCTTGTCGTGTTGCCACGATAAAGTCAGCGCTCATTGCTCTTTTCGGGCAACAACAACTCGCCTATTGCACTGCGTAATGGAGCCAAATGAGATCCAGAAAGCACATCATTTGGCTCCATTAGGCAGAGCAACATGCACACTTGGTGTGTAGACAAGGAGGCAACTCATCACATGTGCATGCCCTAGCTCGCGCACGCCAATTGAATTACCAGGTACTTTCATTTCTGAGTGACGATTCTAATGTTCATGAGAATATGATGCTGCCTAAATTGGATATATTTGTGTTACTAATGAAGGGCCTAGCTTGGACAAGAGGGACGAACACTGGAGCAGGATCAAGCATGGAGATGAAGGCGCGTGCGAAAGGATCCAAAATGGTGTTTCTAGTGCATATTTGAGCACTTTGAAGCCTCCGTGATGACCTACAAGGAGATGGACAACATATACAAGATGTCCATTCATAAATTTCGTCCAGAGATTATTTTAGGTGCTGGGCAACCTTATTTTTTGGGCCAGGCCCATGCAATTTTGCGCGCGCCTTCATCTCCATGCTTGATCCTGCTCCAGTGTTTATCCCTCTTGTCCATGCTAGGCCCTTCATTAGTAATCAACACAAATGTATCCAATTTAGGTAGCAGCATATTCTCACGAATATTAGAATTGTCACTAAGAAACGAAAGTACCTGGTAATTCAATTGGCCTGCGCGAGCTCTAGTAATTGGTTCAGTATGTATAGCAGCAGGGGCTGTGGGTGTAACAATGATTTTGATGTCCTCGTCACAGTGGCTCTATGGGAATGCCAGTGTCATTAACCTCTTCCAGCACAATGGTTCTGCTTACATAAATCCAGGAACATGACATAGATCTTTGCGAGTGCTACCACAAATCTAATGCACGATTTAAAAATAGCTCAAGTTTCACGAGGAACTCCATCTTGCTCGTATAGGAGGTGTGCCGTCGAGGTCACCGTTATCGCCAATGGAAAGATCCAGACGCCCGAGGTAGGAGATAACCCATACCTGTAGTGAACGGAAAGCATGTTTTCCGATCAACGGATAGGCAAAGACATGAGATCTCATGAGCCACAGACCGACTTCTAACCATCGACAGCGCTCGCGCCTGCGTCACTGACCTGGCCCACCGCACAGGAGTCACTGTGTAGTATATGTAAAAAAAAATTGCGAGGATACGTATATGTAAATTTCCTCTGTTAAGAATGCACAAAGGACTGGCACAAGAATTTTAGTGCTCCACATCATGATGCCATGCCCAGCCGCCCAGCACATGTGTGCTCGAGCATAGAAACTCTGCGTCCTTTGTTTTTGCGGAATTATAGAAACTTTGGTTCCGACCAAACCGCTCATCTCATGAGAGTTCTGGCTGGCCGTGTATATCTATCTTATTTCAAAACATAGACGTGGTCAATTTTTTTTTTCAAAAGGTGCATATGCTGCCTATTGGATGGTACACCTCCCCATTGACATACACCCTTGCTTTCGGCGGGCGAATAGAGCATGGATCTCTAGCTTAGCTTATGGATTGCATATAATAGTAGCTTTGTAGCATTATCATTTGCGAACAGAGTATTTTATTTGACTTCTAATTTGGGAAACCGTACAAGTATCGATCGAACTATTTATTCAACCGAAAAAGGGGTACAACTAAAGTTAGGATGCATACCCCTAAAGAAGAAAAGAGTTGGATGCATATAATATGGATGGACTGCTGAGTTAGTTTATGACTTTACAGAACATATAGCTCGATTTGTACAAAAAGAAGGAAAAACTATATGCGCACTGCACCAACCCTAGGTGCATGCATGTGTCGCCCCGCCTAGTCCAACACAATCGGCAGGATATTCGTCAACTCCTGGTCTGAAATGGCCACAGGCGCCGAAATATGCCGTGCCGAAACGTAGCAGGAGTAATACGTAGCTTAGCTGCGGCCACGACGTGTTTGCGAGAAGCTAGCGGCCAAATGACCAAAAAGGCAGACAAGAAAAGCGAGCTAATCAAAAGCCCCCACCTGGCAGGCATCCGGAGGCCACCACCTGTCAGTCACAGTCACGGAGAGCTGCCCCGCTGGCCCAGGCCCGGCCGTATCTTTCGCTAGCCCCTGGAGAAATTATCAGCAGCCCCCGCAAAAAAAAAAAAAAGAAATTATCAGCAATCACACACTCCAAGAAACAATGAGTCTATAACCTAATAAATACATCGTTGCATGACACTACATAGATGTTCCTATCCATTATGGAGGTAGTAACATAGTCTAGGGAAGTGTGTAAGTTACTAGCTTATGTTCTTACTCATTGTAACCAGCCTAATAGTCACGGAGAGCTGCCCCGCTGGCCCAGGCCCGGCCGTATCTTTCGCTAGCCCCTAGAGAAATTATCAGCAATCACACTGAGCGGTCCGATCTTAATTTCCCAATTAAGCCCCACAAAAGCCGGGCCATCAAAGGACAGCGACGTGGCCATTTCTGCCCGTTTCGGCCCCGCGAAGGTAAGACGAAGCAGGGAGCACCGGCAAGGGGGTAACTCGATCCCGATCAGCTGCTACTAATACTAGCAGCATGCTTAATTAGTTAGGTGGAGTCTCCCCAGGCGCCAGCTCATCGCAAGCCATACACACACTCTCCCGCTCAAACAACGCGGTCTGGCTAGCTGCCTCCTCACCGCACCTGCATGCGCGCGGCGCCGCGCCTCTCCTCTCTTCTCCGATGGAGAGATCAGCTTTTCACCATGGCGGACCTCACGCTTCTCCCCCGCTTCTTTACCAACCCATATATACCTCCCGCCCTCCTGGCCTCATGCCGGATCTCACGCTTCGAATTCTGCTCGTGCGTTTCTTCACACCTATACCTACCTACCTAGCCTAGCTCTCCTCTTCCAGACTTTGAGTACTCTCTTCCCGCAGCACCTGGGTACTTAACCGCTTACCCTCCCGCCATACACCTGCGTGCACCATATAGATTAGCTAGTTTCATAGGCGCACTGCAGCTCTGGCATGTGTGAGGGGCGTGCCCTAATGGTACATGGCTGAGCACCCTTCGGCAACCTCCTCGTCTGCTGCTCCTCCCCCTCAGGTGCAAGTGCAAGCTGCTGCTGAACCGGCGACCGAACTTTCCCCGGGTGCTCCTGCCTCGCCCCATTCCCCGCCGGTTCACCTAGGCGATACGGTGGGGATAACGACGGCGTTGACGGCGACGAGCTCCGGGGAGCCGTCGCCGCGGTCCACTGGGAAGCACCCCTTCTACCGCGGCATCCGGTGCAGAAACGGCAAGTGGGTCTCGGAGATCCGCGAGCCGCGCAAGGCGCGCCGCATATGGCTCGGAACTTACCCGACGGCCGAGATGGCTGCCGCGGCCTATGACGTGGCCGCCCGCGCGCTGCGCGGCTCCGACGCCGTGCTCAATTTCCCTGGCGCCACCGCCTCGCGCCCGGTCCCCGCGTCTGCCTCCCCCGAGGACATACGCGCGGCCGCAGCCGCAGCCGCGGCGGCCGCCCAGCTTTACAGGCCGCACGGCGGCGAGGCGGCTGATGGCACTGCTTCGACTGCCGCGACAGAGGAGCAGCAGAGACATCACGGCACAATAACAAGCGAAGAAGCCGCCGATGACCGCACGCCGCACCATCAGCTGGGCAATGAGGACTTCATGGACGAGGAGGCGATCTTCGAGATGCCGCAGATGCTGCGCAACATGGCGGCGGGCATGATGATGAGCCCGCCAAGGCTGAGCCCCACCGCCTCCGACGAGTGGCCGGACCCGCCGGGGGCGGGGGAGAGCCTGTGGAGCTACCACGATCCCTAGTGAGTATATTGCATTGGCTTAAGACATGATGACCGGTGAGCTGGTTGGTACGTGCTCCAGTGCTATACCAGTTACTAAACCTAGTTAATCCGGAGTACGGCAGTGGATACATGGACCCCCGGCCGTTGCGGGGCATCGTCCTCTATCTGGTATATATGCGTGTGCCATAATAGTGGTATCACTGGGCGCTGGCCTGCGATATTATAGCCGCTACCTAGATAGTACTCGCCAGTTACGTCAGATTCGATATTATGTTAGCTAGCTGCGTACGGTCATTTTCGCACATAAAGTCCGCTCGTTGATTCGCTTGGCTTATTGCTCGTTTTACTATGAGAGCAAGCAGGCGCCACGTACCTTTTTCTTCCTCTTTTTTTTTTCTATATATAAAGTGCTTAGTGGATCGCACATCACCGGGAGACTAATGCATTGTAACTTTTGTAACAGTAGACATAAAAATATTTGGCGGTGGATAAATTAAGATGGATGCGGACGTCCATATGGATCCAATTTTCCTTTTCTTTAGTTGTGTCTTTTGGCTGTAGTTTATATGCAGTATACTGCGAATTGGGGAAGTTAGCCGTTGAGAAGAGCAAAAGAGGGAAGAGTTGGTGGGCAATCTGTTATCTGTTGGATACTGTGATCGATGAAAGATCCATGCGCTATGTTACTTTTTGACAACAAATCAGATCAGCATGATTCAGGACAAAGATATCTATGCGAGTCAATTTATTGTGGAAAAGAATGGGATTTGCTCTGCTTGTAATATATTTCACACATCATAAAACGTGAAAGCAAAAAACACAGTTAGCTGAAATTGTCAAAAGGTGACATGGATAAACCGATCAGTTGCTTATTTGCGACGTCGGTTTCTCCAACCAAAATGCTCTTAAGATCTCATAATTGAGCTGTTGAACGGCGGTAAATGGCTTCTTCATATTGACATCATATTCTAAAATTAAAGTATTACAAGAGCGCAGGTCCAGGGTTCATATGCGTTCATACTTGATTTTCTACATGCTGTATGTGCCAAAATGAACAGTAGCCCTATTTAAAAAATAAATAAATAACAGTAGCCCAAGACAACTTGGTGAAAACACACATATGGATATAGTCAGAATTTCCACAGGTACGCAAAGGCAAGCACATAAGCAAAGCACACGACTAGATCGAATTGGCAAAAGCAAATACAAACCAAAGATATCAAATTGTCGTACTTAATAGCAGGGCACTCTACCATTGAGTCAACAACCCAGACAAAAAAGTGATCTTAGGTACTACCTCCGTCTAGGTGAATAAGTCATTCGCGTAGTTCTAGGTCATCGATTTGAGCAATTAAATATGTGTTATATGTCATGAAAAGTATATCACTAGATTTCTACACGAATGTAGTTTCTAAATATATATATTTTGTCACATATAATACATATTTAGATAGTTAAATCATTGACCTAGAACTACGCGAATGACTTATTCACCGAGACGGAGGTAGTACGACATACATCCAAAAAACATTGGAATTGCACTGCGTTGGTTTGTCAATCCATTGATTGATGTACACAATCCTACATCGATTTTATATATCGAGTAGGCTCACGCGTGTGTATATGTTTTTAAAAAATAGGCGCTTGTCCGGCTTTAGTGAACTGAACCCTTTTTAGCGTTTAAAACACGGGTTCATCGGAACAATGAAGACATGAATAAGGTTTGATACAGACCCATTCAGGCCAAAGGCTCAATAGCTGACACACACGACAAACATACGACATAGCTTGCCACTTAAATCGATCATTCTCCATGATGATTGATCTCCTCCCTGGGAGCCTTTGCATGATGACGAAGCTTGTTACACATCGCCGCAAGTGTTGAGGACTCCGGCATCTTACTTAGTGGGTTCCACAGTTGTAAGAATATAGTCATTTTATATAGTGCATTAACTGTGTGCATATGTGACACAAAAATTTGATGCAAGTGGAAATGCAGGTGGCATGCCAAGCAAGCATATCTAGCTATTACCCTACCACTCGAATATGTTGTCATTTGGCAGCGTCTACTACCATTTTCTTAAGCTCCAATGAATCACTAAATGGTGGACCTACACATATGTTTTTCATAAGCCATTGGAGGTCCTTTTTTAGAATTTGAACACCTATCAAAGTCCATAGCCACCGTTGTCGGTGTCAAAAACGGCGGATCTCGGGTAGGGGGTCCCGAACTATGCGTCTAGGATCGATGGTAACAGGAGATGGTGGACAGAATGTTTTACCCAGGTTCGGGCCCTCTCTATGGAGGTAATACCCTATCCTGCTTGATTGATCTTGATGAATATGAGTATTACAAGAGTTGATCTACCGCGAGATCGTAATGGCTAAACCCTAGAGGCCTAGCCTGTATGACTATGGTTATGAGTGTCTCTCGATCCGGACTAAGCCCTCCGGTTTATATAGACACCGAAGGGATCTAGGGTTACATAGGGTCGGTTACAGAGAAAGGAATCTTCATATTCAGTCGCCAAGCTTGCCTTCCACGCCAAGGAGAGTCCCATCCGGATACGGGTGGAGTCTTTGGTCTTTGTATCTTCACAGCCCATCAGTCCGGCCCATGGCTAACAGGCCAGACGCACGAGGACCCCTTAGTCCAGGACTCCCTCAGTAGCCCCTGAACCAGGATTCAATGACGATGAGTCCGGCACGCAGATTGTCTTCGGCATTGCAAGGCGAGTTCTTTTCTCCAAAATAGTCTTCGGACGCGTAGAATATATCCGGACCTGTAACATAAGCATCACACACAGCCACAGAGAGTATAATATTTCATGAGTCTAATCTGCTGACAACTTTTTTGGTAATATGACATCACATCTACCCGGTCATTATTTCGAACCGTTTTCATCTGCTGTTCCACGTTTCGAGATGCGGTTTCTACTGACACGTCTTGTCAAAGCAGAGATCGTGTCTCCTTATTGCGGGATTCTCATCAATACGAGCATGGGTAACCCAACCGTGTCATCTGCACGGTGCTTGGGGAATAGGCGAATTTTAAGGCGAGTGGGGAGGCGCATGACTTTTAGTGCCTTTATAAAGGGACAAGGATTCATCCTTTCACCCACGCCTTCTCCTTCCTCAGCCCATCCGTTCTTGAGCTCCAGCGCCCAAGCTCTCGCCTTCCTCGCCCAAAAAGGCACTCCCATCATGTCTGGATCCAGAGCAGGAGGCAAGTGGATGGCCTCCTCCATCAAGGAGAAGGACATCAAGAAGCTCCGGGAGGCCGGGTACCTAGCCAAGGAAATCGCCCATCGACTTCCGGCCAAGGGACAGATCGTCCCCACCCCAGAGCCCCAGGAGAGGTAGTGTTTGTCTCACACTTCGTCCGCGTGCTGGGATTCCCCTCCACCCATTCGTCCGCGGACTGATGTTCTATTATGGGTTGGACTTCCATGATCTGGCCCCCAACTCTATCCTCAACATCTCAGCATTTATTGTCGTATGCGAGGCCTTCCTCCGCATCTCACCTCACTTCGGCCTATGGCTGAAGACCTTTAATGTGAAGCCGAAGGTGGTGAGCGGTCAACAAGCAGAGTGCGGAGGCGCCATGGTGGGCAAGATGCCCAATGTCACCTGGCCCGAAGGCTCCTTTGTGGAGACCGTCAAAGGGTGGCAGTCGGGGTGGTTCTACATCACCGAGCTGCGTGGCACCAAATGGGCGGCGGTCCCCACATTCTGATCCGGAGTCCCGATGCGGCTCACCTCCTGGCAAGAGAAGGGCCTGGCCTGGGGCTCCTCGGACGAGCTGACAGCGCTCCAAATGCGCGTCCAGAGCATGATTAACAAGAGAATAAAGCTCGTCAATGTGATTCAGGTTATGCTCGTTCGCCGGATCCTTCCGTGCCAACGCCAGACTTGCTATCTATGGGAGTTTGATCCAGCCAAGCACTAGACGCTGTTGGAGCTCTTCGGCACAACGCACGAAGACATCTGGAAGGTGCTCTTCAAGGCCGGCGAGACGCCACCGCCCATGGACGAGGACCGTGGACATGACTTGACTCACCCTGCTAATCCGGTATGTTCTTTCACGTTTTCAAGGTGTACCCTTTACCCGCATATTCAAAGAAAGCATCTAAGCTTCGTTATCAATTTTTCTCATGACTGGGCAGAGATAGCGAAGCGGATTAAATGTCCGGCTCCGCTGCCCGAAGGCCCAGAAACCCCACTTCTAACGAAGATGTTGTTTCCATCGCCTTATGAAGTGCCGGAGAAGTAGGCCAAGAAGAAGGCCAAGGGGATCAGAGGTGGTCTCCGCCGCAAGGGCACTTCGGACGTAACGTCCGAAGACGTCGAGGCTCACTTCTCCGCCGAAGACGAGGAGGAGGAGGAGGAAGAAGAAGAGATCCACTCCCCCCTCCCCTACAGGGGGAGAAAGAAGAGGGTGGCCCCCTCGCATCTCGAGGCCAAGGCATCCAAGAAGGGGAAAGCTTCCCTTCCGGACAGCTCCGCAGCGGTCACCGACAGTAGCTGGGAGTAGGAACCCAGGGAGAAGCCCCTGGCCAAATCGTGATTATCCGGACACGTTTATGTATCCGGCCTCATTTATTTTATTGTTTTAATGTGCTGATTTATGCATTTGCAGTCTGGCTCGGTCCAATGTCGAGCAGTCCTTATCCTCAAAGGTTTCGCTGGATCCGGCAGCAATGGACAGCGGGACCCTTCCATCGGCCACCTCTCCCTGAGACCTGGATGGCGCCGAGGCATCGCCCCGAAGGATCCCTGGCCCGGGAGAGAATCCGAAGGTCGTCAGGGAGGCGCCGGAGGGTGAAGCCTCGCGGTAGGACACATGGGGGAGCGAGCCCCCATGGAAAATGACGGTGGGGGCCATATTCAAATTGGTCCTTAGCCGAATATAGTTTCTAAGACACATGCGGCTCCGGAACCAGGCCAGCCTCCCCTTCCAAGAGGAGGTGGTGCACCTATTCCACCGGTGGCCTCTGTCCATCCAGAGGCACCGGATAGTTTGCTGGAAGCGCTGCAAGGCGCTTCCATTGTAGGAGTACACCGTACCCTTATGGGTACGGTGGTTGAGAGGATCCAATCCGCGAAAAGAAGATTGACCGAAGTGTGCACTAGCCTTCTAACAGGCTTTGAGGTAAGTAATGTAATTGTATGAAAAGAATGTCACAGTATATATAGTAGCCCCTGATGCTCTGTCTGGTGTTCGGAAAGAAAAGCCAAATAGAGGATCAAATAATTTTCGTAGGAGTCTAATCTAAAATGTCTATGTGAACAAGCAGGCGTCGCTGCTAGCTGCGCCCGCTCATACTGCGGAAGTCTCCGGACTGAAGCAGAGTCTGAAGCAGGCTGAGGAAGAGCTCGACCGTGTTAAGAAGCAGCTAGAGGACAGTCAAGGTATGCAATAACCTTGTATGTATTGAGGAATGATGAGTGATTCGTGCTGACTAAAGTGTCATGAACTTTATTAGGGGCAACGACC